CTATAGTAAAATCATTAGCAATGCATTTACATTATACATATAATAGCCCTATTCTATCAGTAATGCTTGCATTCATTCCTGACCACTGACAATCCCTTTCTACCTGATTTTCAATGCATTCCTATAGTAAAATCATTAGCAATGCATTTACATTATACATATAATAGCCCTATTCTATCAGTAATGCTTGCATTCATTCCTGACCACTGACAATCCCTTTCTTCCTGATTTTCAATGCATTCCTATAGTAAAATCATTCCCAATGTGTTTCCATTATACATATAATAGCCCTATTCTATCAGTAATGCTTGCATTCATTCCTGACCACTGACAATCCCTTTCTTCCTCATTTTCAATGCATTCCTATAGTAAAATCATTAGCAATGCATTTCCATTATACATATAATAGCCCTATTCTATCAGTAATGCTTGCATTTATTCCTGACCACTGACAATCCCTTTCTTCCTGATTTTCAATGCATTCCTATAGTAAAATCATTAGATATGCATTTACCTTATACATATAATAGCCCTATTCTATCAGTAATGCTTGCATTAATTCCTGACCACTGACAATCCCTTTCATCCTGATTTTTAATGCATTCCTATAGTAAAATCATTAGCAATGCATTTCCATTATACATATAATAGCCCTATTCTATCAGTAATGCTTGCATTTATTCCTGACCACTGACAATCCCTTTCTACCTGATTTTCAATGCATTCCTATAGTAAAATCATTAGCAATGCATTTACCTTATACATATAATAGCCCTATTCTATCAGTAATGTTTGAATTCATTCCTGACCACTGACAATCCCTTTCTTCCTGATTTTCAATGCATTCCTATAGTAAAATCATTAGCAATGCATTTACATTATACATATAATAGCCCTATTCTATCAGTAATGCTTGCATTAATTCCCTTTATTCCTGACAATCCCTATTTCATCCTGATTTTTATACAATGCATTTCTATAGTAAAATCATTAATCAATGCATTTTCAATATTCATATAATGGCCCCTTATATTCTATCAGTAATAATGCTTGCATTTATTCCTGACCACTGACAATCCCTTTCTTCCTGATTTTCAATGCATTCCTATAGTAAAATCATTCCCAATGTGTTTCCATTATACATATAATAGCCCTATTCTATCAGTAATGCTTGCATTCATTCCTGACCACTGACAATCCCTTTCTTCCTGATTTTCAATGCATTCCTATAGTAAAATCATTAGCAATGCATTTCCATTATACATATAATAATAGCCTATTCTATCAGTAATGCTTGCATTTATTCCTGACCACTGACAATCCCTTTCTTCCTGATTTTCAATGCATTCCTATAGTAAAATCATTAGCAATGCATTTACCTTATACATATAATAGCCCTATTCTATCAGTAATGCTTGCATTAATTCCTGACCACTGACAATCCCTTTCATCCTGATTTTCAATGCATTCCTATAGTAAAATCATTAGCAATGCATTTCCATTATACATATAATAGCCCTATTCTATCAGTAATGCTTGCATTAATTCCTGACCACTGACAATCCCTTTCTTCCTGATTTTCAAGGCATTCCTATAGTAAAATCATTCCCAATGTGTTTCCATTATACATATAATAGCCCTATTCTATCAGTAATGCTTGCATTCATTCCTGACCACTGACAATCCCTTTCTTCCTGATTTTCAATGCATTCCTATAGTAAAATCATTAGCAATGCATTTCCATTATACATATAATAGCCCTATTCTATCAGTAATGCTTGCATTTATTCCTGACCACTGACAATCCCTTTCTTCCTGATTTTCAATGCATTCCTATAGTAAAATCATTAGCAATGCATTTACATTATACATATAATAGCCCTATTCTATCAGTAATGCTTGCATTCATTCCTGACCACTGACAATCCCTTTCATCCTGATTTTCAATGCATTCCTATAGTAAAATCATTAGCAATGCATTTCCATTATACATATAATAGCCCTATTCTATCAGTAATGCTTGCATTCATTCCTGACCACTGACAATCCCTTTCTTCCTGATTTTCAATGCATTCCTATAGTAAAATCATTAGCAATGCATTTACATTATACATATAATGGCCCTATTCTATCAGTAATGCTTGCATTCATTCCTGACCACTGACAATCCCTTTCTTCCTCATTTTCAATGAATTCCTATAGTAAAATCAATCGCAATGCATTTACATTATACATATAATAGCCCTATTCTATCAGTAATGCTTGCATTCATTCCTGACCACTGACAATCCCTTTCTTCCTCATTTTCAATGAATTCCTATAGTAAAATCATTCGCAATGCATTTACTTTATACATATAATAGCCCTATTCTATCAGTAATGCTTGCATTTATTCCTGACCACTGACAATCCCTTTCATCCTGATTTTCAATGCATTCCTATAGTAAAATCATTAGCAATGCATTTACATTATACATATAATAGCCCTATTCTATCAGTAATGCTTACATTCATTCCTGACCACTGACAATCCCTTTCTTCCTGATTTTCAATGCATCCCTATAGTAAAATCATTAGCAATGCATTTCCATTATACATATAATAGCCCTATTCTATCAGTCATGCTTGCATTCATTCCTGACCACAGACAATCCCTTTCTTCCTCATTTTCAATGAATTCCTATAGTAAAATCATTCGCAATGCATTTACATTATACATATAATAGCCCTATTCTATCAGTAATGCTTGCATTCATTCCTGACTCCTGACGATTCCTTTCTTCCTTATAGTAAAATCATTATCTATTAATAAATTTAAAACAATTATTAGTAAATTAATTTATTTATTTATCTTGGCAAGATATTTTCTGGAGTGATATAAGGGGCTGACCATTTTTTCCAGAATCTTTAGGGATGTACCGTAAATAGAAGTTGCTATTGCCGTCTGGATTGAACTTGAAACTCAATTGACGTTCAAACCCTGGAGACTTGTTGCGAATGCGTTGTGACGGGAGAAAACTCAACGTTATATTGACGGTGATGAAAGGATACTGGCTTGATTTTTAACGGTATTGAAATTTTCATAGCCCTTTCCCCCAATATGCTGATTGGGAATATCAGGTGCGGTAAGCTTGGATGCGTGGGTGGTGTAATGTATAACGGTGCTGAATTACTATTCGGGGAGCCGTGTTTCAATTTCAATCGGGATAACTATCTTCATTTACACGGAAATGTCCTTGGAAAAGGTATGAATCCACTTCTTCTAGTCCCCTCCGCTATGGATTAATTAGTAGAATTTGTACCAGTAAATTATTATCTTCGAAAAAGTTTCTTACAATAATAATAATAATAATAATAATAATAAATTCATGGCTTTAAATAACCTGCCAAATATTTATAAAAATAAATCAATCCTGTTTAACTTCGGTGATCGGACGAGAACCGCTATTATAACGTGATATGGCCGTATGCATTTACGAGAGTACAAAATTTGGCACAATCAGTCCAATGAAAAAAAAAACAAAAAAAACAGTATTGGTATATTGAATTAATTTCCGATTAGTTTATATTAACAGTTTCTCAATGGGGGCTCTATTGATAATGACCTTGAGTCAAATCTATGTTTTGACAATGATGTTCGCCCTTTTTATGGCTCAAGAGCCACTCGAGGTAGAAGGTTACAGAGTAAGCGAGACAGTTTGTGGGTCGACCCTAGTCTTGAACAGGTAAAAATTGTAGTGATCAGGAAAACATCTTCTTGGGAGTCGGTTCCATAAAGCAGCGGTTCGAAGGAAGAATTCAATGACGTTCTCCCTGTACAGGGCCCAAGAGCCACTCGAGGTAGAGGGTTACAGAGTAAGCGAGACAGTTTGTGGGTATATATGAGGTAGTTAACGGTTGACAGGTTAAGATTGTAGTGATCAAGAGGCATCTTCTTGGGAGTCGGTTACAAAAAGTAGTTGTTCGTTGGAAAAAGAAACTTTTTTATACCCTGATGTTCTCTTTGTACATGGGCCAAAAGCTACTCAAGGTAGATGGTTACAGAGTAAAAGGCAGGTTTTTATGGGGATATGTGAGGAAGATAACGGTTAACCTTAGACTTGAACAGGTTAAGATTGTAGTGATCAGGGAAGCATCCTCTTGGGAGTCGGTTCCACGAAGCAGGGAGAGGGGTACAGAGTAAGTGGCACAGTTTATGCCGATATGTGGGGAAGATAACAGTTAACCCTAGACTTGAACTTGTTAAGATTGTAATGATTGGAGAAACATCTTCAAGGGAGTCGGTTCCACAAAGCAGGGAGAGGGTTACAGAGTAAGAGGCACAGTTTATGCCGATACGTGGGGAAGATAATGGTTAGCCCTAGACTGGAACTTGTTAAGATTGTAATGATTGGAGAAACATCTTCGAGGGAGTCGGTTCCATAAAGCATCTGTTCGAAGGAAGAATTTGTTTTTATTCAATGATGATAACCCTGTACAAGGCACAAGAGCATCTCGAGGTAGTGAGTTACAGAGTAAACGACGCTGTTTGTGAGTATATGGGACGAAGAAAACGGTTGACATGTTAAGATTGTAGTACGCGAGTAAGAGTCATCTTGGGAATCGGTTCCACAAAGCAATGGTTCGTTGGGAAAACATTTTTATACAATGAAGTTTCTTCTTGTATAAGGCCCAAAGTTCATCGAGGTTGATTGGTATGACTTAAGATTAAGAGGCACTGTTTTATGTGAGGAAGATAACAGTTGACTCTGGACTTAAACAGGTCAAGATTGTTTATAAGGCGATATTTTAGTCAGTCGATTATTTAGTGGTGTTTTGCTTAGGCCACCGTGCATACTAAAACGGTTATTTAATTTAAATTATTATATTTATGTTCTTTTTTATTTGTACGCCCTTCCAAGTGGCATTTATCATCGCTGACGGCTGGTAACAGCAGTCGATTACGGGAAAGTTTTAAGTGGGTTTTCCGGAGAATAGAAGCAAGCAAACATTAAAGCAGAATGCTGAGCAGTCGATACCGTTTCTTTTTAGCCGTTTCCTTGTTCTGTTTGACAAACCAGTACAAGGTCAGTGGCGCGCGAGAGCACGAACCGAGACTTGACCCCAGAAAATGGAAACTGCGCAGTACCCAAATCGGAGTCGCTGAAGCGAGCCTAGCGCCGGTAAAGCAACACGACACCAGCGTAACGAAGCCGGATCGAACCATGTTAGGCATTTACGCCAATACACAAAGCCCGGCAGCGATAACTGATGATGTGTTCGAAAGCGGAAACCAACGAGGAGCAGACGCAAATAAACATTCTTATGCTTCTGGTCTCGGTCGGAATGATCGACCACATCGCGCGCAAATGAGACGTCGACACGGGCACAGTGTCGTGAAGAGTCGCCGACGAAGATTCCGACGCGGAATATTTACTACAACGCTCGACACTCAGTTCGAAACGAACGACACTGCGGGTAAAGGAAACCGAATTCACAGCAAGGAGAGTTATAAGCGGGGAATGACGATTAACATGACGCTATCCGTCCCGAAGTTGGAAATGTGCGTTCATATCTGTTTATCGAACACGCTATGTACCAATGCCTCTTTTCATGCGGAAAAATCGACCTGCACCCTGACGGGTAACGGGGATGACAGGATGGAAGAGAAGCGTCAAAGAGTCAAAGACAAAAATGATGAAATCGGAAACAAGTGGCGCGGTCCAATCGAGATCAAAATTCGTATTTCAGAAAATGGTGAAACGAAAACGTTCAGAATAAACAAATCAAAACTAAAGGTAGGTAAGGCGAGTAAAAAAAAAAGTACTTGCTCTTATGATATCAGTAACGCTAGCATTCATTCCTGACCACTGACAATCCCTTTCTTTGTGATTGTCAATGCATTCCTATAGTAAAATCATTAGCAATGCATTTAAATTATACATATAATAGCCCTATTCTAACAGTAATGCTTGTCTTCATTCCTGACCACTGACAATCCCTTTCTTCCTCATTTTCAATGCATTCCTATAGTAAAATCATTAGCAATGCATTTACATTATACATATAATAGCCCTATTCTATCAGTAATGCTTGCATTCATTCCTGACCACTGACAATCCCTTTCTTCCTCATTTTCAATGCATTCCTATAGTCAAATCCTTAGCAATGCATTTCCATTATACATATAATAGCCCTATTCTATCAGTAATGCTTACATTCATTCCTGACCATTAACAATCCCTTTCTTCCTGATTTTCAATGCATTCCTATAGTCAAATCATTAGCAATGCATTTCCATTATACATATAATAGCCCTATTCTATCATTAATGCTTGCATTTATTCCTGACCACTGACAATCCCTTTCTTCCTCATTTTCAATGCATTCCTATAGTAAAATCATTAGCAATGCATTTACATTACACATATAATAGCCCTATTCTATCAGTAATGCTTGCATTTATTCCTGACTACTGAAGAAGTAGTACTCACTCTTCCGTAGAATGTTGCTGCTGGTTAGAGGGTTCCATGTGAAAATTATATTATCTGAATAAACCCAAATCCCTGTTTAATCCCTCAATGTGTGATTTTGTTTTGAAAATATATTTCAACACTGATCGGATTTTTTCTTTAAGGTTGTCGAATGAAGATCCTAAAAGCACGCATCTGATTTCATCCAAAAATTCTTTAAAATCTCTCCCCTTCGTGCGTCATGTTAACCAAAAGGCTAATGTATAATGAATATCACTAATCTTATTATCAATATTGTTACCATTTTCTTGGCTTTCTTGCGACAAAGGTGCTGAAACACTGAGCGTATTTTTATGTTTAACGTTCTTTTTTATAGATGCAAGTATTTAAGTAAATGCTCTGTTTATAATAAACAGTATTAAATAACATTTACCGGCCTGAATGTCCGAGAAATTTTCATAGAAAATATTCGTCCTTTGACAGGATTCGAACCTGCATCCTATACGGAACCGTCATTTACGCTGACGTGCCTAACCTCTCGGCCACAAAGGAGCGTTCGGTGTCGTTAGGCATCCGATTGCCTCCAGCTAAGATCGAAACCAAACAAAGAATCACCTTTCAGGTGTACACAGTCCGACCACTACCATAAGTTTCATTCCCTTAAGGAATTGTCGGACAGTCGGCAGCTGTAATGCGAAAATGGGAGCTTTTATACCTACAGGAAAGGTCAAGATGGACAAAAAAATATGGACGGTGTTCGCACACCATCCATAAAGCCAACCAGTCTCACCTGTGGTGGGGGTGCAAAGCACCCATACGACCAAGATCAAAATAAAGCCGTAAATACAATTACCACCCCCACACTAAAAAATGAAAAAAAAAAAAATCTCAGTGCGTGAAAAAGTGTCATGGTGTCTCCATGGCTTTCAAATGTAAATAGAAATAAGCAACTCGTGTATGCACACCAGAAAGAAAAGTGCTCAACATCATACAATACCGTAAAGCTACAAACACACATACATACACACACATGCATATGTGTGTGTGTGTGTATATATATATATATATACACACACACACATACACACACACGCATATATATATATATATATAGTCGTAAGTGGCATATATATATATATATATATATATATATATATATATAGTCTTAAGTGGTATAAAAGTGAACATTGAAGTCAACACTCAGAAGTGACAGGTTAGACGAGATTGTCATGCATGTGACTTCAATGTTTACTTATATATATATATATATATATATATATATATATATATATATATATATAAAGTAAAAAACATTGAAATCACATGGCCTGACGATATACATACATATATATATATATATATATATATCTTTAAACATGAATAATGCATTGAATAAATAATATGTATTTTATATATTTTGTCATTTCTTTCATATAGGAAGGTGTATATAGTGATATATCTTTATAATTACGTGAACTATAGGCGGGTGTATACACGCATACGCGCACACACACACGCACGCGCACACACACACGCACACACACACACACACGCGCGCGCACAAACACACATATGAGCCATCATCGAGCTTAGATCATGGAATAGCATAGTAAAAAATATCCAAATGTTGGACAGTTTTGGTCTTTATTTTCTCACGAAAACTAAAGCCACTATGTGTGTGTGTGTGTGTGTGCGCGCGCGCGCGTTTATATATGTACATACATATGCACGTGTGTGTGAGTGTGCTCATTAAATCTTTGTATAATGTCGTACTGTTTATTGCTTAAAAGGACTGTGATTCTTTCATCGGATTTCATTCAATTGCTTCTTCCCAACGTAGACTGAAGCTCGATACAATGTTCTTAAATATCCCAGTCAGATCTAGACGGGCATATGGATGCCATGCCTGTCTTCCAATTCGTTCTGAAATGCTTAAGTAATCATCTATAACCAACCGTTTTCTCAGTGGGGAAGATGATTAAAAATGACTTCAAATGAATGAATCCTGTGGCTGATAAGGAGGACAGTTCTTCGTCGGATCTCGTAAACTGGCGATGAAGAATCGTAAAAAAAAGTCCTTTGTCAAATAAGAGAAACCGCGTAGGCGGAAGAATTTCAACGGTAGTCGCAACTAAAACGGATAATAGAAAATAACAGCAAAATCGTAATACTAATATGAAAAATATAGAAAGTAGTAGGACTTCATCAATAGTGGAAAGAGCGATAACAGTTAGTGGTCGTTCAAAACCTATTTTTCTTCTCGGTCAATGAATGCCAATGGCTAATGGCACCAGTGAAAAAAAAAGTAGTTCACTCGTTAAAAAAATAGCGAAACTATGAAAATATGAAAAATCATCAAATACTGGAAAGAGCTATAACAGTTAGCGGTCGTGAAAAAATTATTTGCCTGAAAAATTGATTTTAGAAATTTCAGCCGAAAATAGCGTTAACTGTTCAGTCAATGAACGTCGAAAATTTCACACTATTTACATTTTGGGACTATTGTTCTCATTTTTGTCGCCATATTTATTACAACGTTTCTGCTGTTGTACGCTCCGGCCTTCTTCAAGTGGTTGGAATGTCGAACTGAACACTTTATTTCGCTCACCGGGGTAGACTGTTCTAGTTCCACATGCCACGTCTAATGTATATCAGTTATCAGTTATCTCCTGTTAATTCCCCTTTCCAAGTTCTCCACTGCCTTAAACGGGTATTGAACTCACACTCTTTGGGTCCTGTCACTGGATCTAACTAATGCCTTTATCCACTGTGTCATGTGTCCTTGAGGAAATCTGGGTATGAATTTCTGGGTATTATGAACCTAATGTTATCAGCAACCATTTTTATCAGTGCTCATATTTCAATTTTTGCTGTTATCATTACATATTTTTACCAGAGCTCGTATTGCAATTTTGTTGTTGTTATTGCTTTTCTCTGGCACTCCTTATTACTGGTTCCCATATTGTATTCATTTCTATGCTTGGTCGGCTCAGGAGATGTTTGTGGCCTAGCATATGGGAAATCTGTTTCAAAATCTCTTAGTTCCACCAGAAACAATACTTCTTTATTTCTGTTTGGGCTTGTAGTAATTCACTATTGTAGCTAGGTTAAGAAATTTTCTTTTTTACAGTTGGAATTACTTTAGTTTATTTAATTAAAGTGTTATATAAGAATAAAGTTTCGCTAACGACATTGGAGTTTGAACACAGATCAACAGAGAGCAAACATAAGTGATCCCATTCTGAATAAGTAGATGACGCGATCGTAGAGGAAATGCATATATGGGAATTCACATGGCGTCTAACGGATTGCACTATCTTTCTACACTATCCTATCTCTATACTATTCACTATACTATTTCTATATACTGATCACTATATATTCGGATCACTACACGGATTACTATTCGGTGGTTACTTCTCGAGGGGTGGCGTAATGGATAGCGACTCGGATTGAAGAATAGGAGAGCCGAGTTCGAATTCCAGTCGAATCCACTATATTCACTTACGTGCTAAATACCTTTGGTATGAATCCTCTTCTTCTCGCCCCGCCTATTGCTAAATAGCAGGACAGACCAGGTTCTACATGGCAATTAATCTACCGCAGAAAGAAGTGGCAACATACTGCGGGAAAAAAATCTGCCTCGTCAGTCATGTATCGAAAGATACATGATCGCCTAAGCGTGTATAATGCATGGCACATAACTGACTACTAGTGCGAGTGCTATTTGAAGACGTCTGACACCAGTATTGTTCAACGGCGTTACTATAGTTGCATCTGCGATTACAAAGTCTCTACTACAACGAGCATTACGAAAGTGACAGCGAGTATTCGTTGACATTATAAAAGGGGCTACGAGTGCTCGTTGACATTACAAAAGTTAGAATAAAATCTATTTATTTCCTTCGGATTTACTATGTTATTTTATGTTTATTGACAAAAACACCTAACGTTTTTTATGTGAAATTCACTTGTGATACGATGGAAACCCACACAGAAAGGGTGGAGGTGGTTTTATCACAGCCGAGAGTGCAGGCCACGTAGTCCATATATTATCGGCCAGGCCTGCGCCCTAGAGAGGTCACTCCAGTTTCACCGCGAAAGGACTGAATTTTTTTTTTTTACCAAAGATGGCGCTACCTTTATCTCGCGAGATAAACAGACGTTTACTATTAATGAAAGAATTGAAGATTGAAGGGAATAACTCTTTGGAGATATCAAGGAATATACAGGGTGTCCATAAAGTTCGTGTGCATTTAAAAAAAATTATATTTTCGATAGAAATAATCTGTAAAAAATGTTATAAAGTTTTATGTATCTAGTTTTAAGTATAGCTAAAATAACTAATGTGATTTCAGGCATCACTGTAAATCAGCTGCCAAATGTTTTCCGTG